GCTACATGACCTATCCCAGCCCCAGGAAAACACACCCGAGTCCTACGTTTCCTATCTCTCGCACAAAAAGCCCTATCTACAAACCTCATCTGGCTGTCCCCAACTACCACGACCTTACCTGTGGGCAGGGTTTGTACAACTGCCCTTTCCTCTCCTTGATCCATACCGTCCTGCCTCTTCTCTTCCTTGCCAGCTTCCTGCAGCACCTGGTAAGGGTTACTACACTCCACACCCTGGTCAGCTTTCCTGAGCCTGACTCTAGTCCCCTTGGAGACAACCACTCTCCACGCCTGCTCCTCCTTCGCAGGTGTCCTGCTAGGCAGGACACCTACCTGAAGGAGTTCCGTCCTGAGGGCTTCATTTTCCCCCTTTAGAGTGTCAACCTCACTCCTCAACTGCCCCAGCTGCCTTAACAGAGTGGCAAGGAGGTCGTCTCTCCCCACACTCTCCTCCTCTTCCCCCAAGACACAACGATCCAAGGCGCCCATTTTCCTTGGTCTCTAACGGGAGCTTTTGCTGGCACGACCTTCTCCAAGCTGGGTCAGATAGCAACTGACACACACACACACACAATCCTCGACACCGGCTCCTACTACCACCTGAGATCCCTAGTCCGAGAATTGCTGTTCGACACCACAACCGCATCCAGCCCATATGTGCACGAACTGATCGCTATAAGAACAGCCCAGTCCCAACCATTGTAAAAATTATCAATAACTTGTAATAAACCAGTGTATTCACTCCCAGTAAACACTACTCCTTGCACTGTCACTATGTTGAAATGAACTGTAGTTTGAACTTTTCCCCATCTAGTTATTATATGTCTTATTTGTGTCACTTATGTTACTTGTATATTATTTGTAATTCGAAACCCATTCCCCAAATATGTAACTGTATATTTTCAGCCTTCTGGCTGCCAAGCTCTTTCAATAAACCGTTAATTATTATTATTATTATTATTACATGAGATGAGGTTAGCCCTCATCCAACGCTGAAATTCACTCTCTCTCTCTCTAAGGTGGTACGATGGCTGCAGCTTTCTTGAGGTGGGGCAAGGTGTTACCCCTCACCAACACCGCTTTTAGAGGTGTGGGTGGCGGTGGCAGAAGTTTGGGTGTGAGCGGTGAGAGGACTACCAGCAGAGGGGCAATAGGAGTGCCTCATCAGAATACCGTTAGGGTAAGTTTCATCAGCAGCTTAAAGATGTTGAGTTTATTTTGGGTATGAATGTTGTCCCTTTTTTATAATTAATTTATTTATTCAACCATGTGAAGATTAGCACTATAGGTTATTCACCAGAAGATGCTTACCTAGCCAAACGTAATCTAACCTAACCTAATTCCATATAACCTAACCTAACTTAATATAACATAACCTAGCTTTAACCTAACACCCTAACCTTAAGAAACCTAATTAAATGTAACCTGAGTTAACATAACCTATACTAACCAAAGGCTAACTTAACGTTAGTTTATTTAACCACCAGGTGAATTAATCTGTGTAATGGGGGATTAATCTTCTCGGGGTGCCATTTCTATGTCACCGATAAATTGATAGATACTTTCTTCATCTTCTTTTCATCTCATTGGATGAATAATCTGTAAGATCAGAATAGTGGATTATTTCCATCGTGGCGGCGGCTACGTTATCGTGCGCTTAAAGCAGGCAAAATGACCTAACCTAACCTAACCGCACCTAACCTAACCTAACCTAACCTAACCTAACCAGGATCAGGCGTCTTCGTCGTCGTCGGTCGAGTCACTGCCAGGGGAGGCGGACGTGGTTGTGGTGGGGGGAGGAGTGGCTGGGTGTAGCGTCCTCTACCACCTTGCCAAGCTTGGCCTCACCAACACTATCCTTCTCGAGGCTCATCAGCTCACTGCAGGTATGTGTGTATGAGAGAGACAATGATGCGGTAATTGTAATAATTAATGGGTTATTGAAAGAACATGGCAATAGAAACTGGCTGGATATATATATATATATATATATATATATATATATATATATATATATATATATATATATATATATATATATATATATACTTCATTTTTAGTCCATATAACACGGCGCCATCAGCTCGATGAACAGGCTTTGTATGAAATATAACAGAGTCTAGAACTGCTTTTAGTGTCCTTGTGGCCTAGCCGGTAAGCGTTCCCTAGTCCCACCCAGTAGGTCGAGGGTTCGATTCCTTGCTGGTGAGGTCGTTGATTATATGTTCAAAGTCCGCGTGTTATATGGACTAAAAATGAAGTATATATATGTACCTCGCGTTTCATACCAGCTGGATTCGGTAAAATGCTACTGACACCACATACGAGGCACGGGCAGTTTCCCAATGAGGTTCACGGCGCCATCAGCTCGATGAACAGGCTTTGTGTGAAATATAACAGAGTCTAGAACTGCTTTTAGTGTCCTTGTGGCCTAGCCGGTAAGCGTTCCCTAGTCCCACCCAGTAGGTCGAGGGTTCGATTCATTGCTGGTGAGGTCTTAAAATAGTGATAATATTTTCTCAGTGACTGATATTGTCTTGCTGTGTGTAGTTAATATTTCTAATATAATTTTGATAGTATTGTTTTTAATGTTTGTGTCACTAATTGATGCCAGAGAATGAGGGAACTGTTTTGCAGATGAGGTTCCTCCTTTCTGTTGTAAGTGATACTGTGATTTAGTTCCTTTAATGCAGGTAATATTTCTTTATAATTTCTATTTTTTATACCATTTCCTCAGTGAGTGATATTATTTTGTTGAAAACCCTTAAGGCCTGCATCTGTTGGTAACATAATTTTATTGAGTGCCCTTAAGGCCTATTCATGGTGGAGTTAATAATTTCTTATTTTTATACCATTTTCTCAGTGATTGATATTATTTTGTTGAAAGCCCTTAAGGCCTGTTTCATGTGCACAAGCAACAATTCGTAATACTTTGAATTTATTGTTGTCTAATGAGGCATTGTCTGAGTTTCTAATAATTTCAATATCATGTATAACTTTTATTCCCCAGAGTAGTGTTTTAAGTTCAGGTTAAGAGGTGCTCATAGGTTGGTGTACCATTATTTGATTGTGTCTGTAGTGTTGGAGGGAATATAAGTGTCTAAATTTTACAGTGTGTCTCATTCATCCCAGTCACCAGATGCTATCTTTCCACGTGTCACGGAGAATTCATTTTGTGTAGTAAAATTAAGTGTTCTTGGGCTGGTTCGGATTTTTCTCCAAGGGGCGCTTCCACTGCAATTTCAATCTAATAATTAATAAACCCCAAGTCAAGTGAGAAATTAAAGTCCAGTAATTCCGACCGGTTACATATATATATATATATATATATATATATATATATATATATATATATATATATATATATATATATATATATATATATATCTTGATAAAATCACACGGGAAAAGGGAAACAACGGAGCACCTTAGCATAACCATGGTCTTGGTATGGTTGATAGTGACATAGTTAGTGGTGGCCCAGTTTTGGAGACCGATGTATTCTGGAAGGCGCTGTAGTCGGGAGCAGAGTTGTTGACGCAGATCCGAATGGTAGAATCGTCGTGTGTGTGTGTTTCCCGTCTTAGTACACGAACCTTTTTGAATATCCTCGAGTCTGACTCCCAACATTAGTAACACATCTCCTCCCATCACTCAGGGACCACTTGGCACACAGCTGGACTCTTTTACCGTCTATCGAGTAATGAGGTGGACTGCATGCTGCATGGCTCAACTATGAGGATCTGTCTGTCCCTGGAGGAGGAAACCGGCGTCAACCCCGGCTGGATCAACAACGGCTCCCTCTTCCTCACCTCCAGGAAGGTAGGGAGAGATACATGTATAGGGCGATTTACTGTGGTCATGGCTGTACTTGGATTGCTTGTCAGGGAGCTAAGAGATAAGATACTTTTGGATAGAGACGGATGGACAGACATTTTGATAGAGAATGATGGATATGTTGGAAGGCCTGTGATGTAGATTCTCACAGTCCAATGGAAGGAGTGTTGGTTCCACCGTGACATCGTGGGAGATTTCCTTCGGTATATTTGCTGTGAGATCCCTTACTTCGTCATGCCTCATGCATACGACCCCCCCTTCTTGCACACCACGGCGTGGTCGATGTCATAGAATGAGCCACACACGCATTGGGTGGGCAAACCTTCTACTGGCCAACAATACCTTAGAGCAGGGATCACCAAACTACGACCCGCGGGCCGGATCCCAAGTCCTTCCCCGGCTCGTGATAGCTCAAAACTACGCTCTGACGTTACCAGAGCTTTCGTTCTGGCTTGCAAGTATTGAACAGAATGATTATGCGGCCCGCGCTCGTCATTCTTTCAGTTATCCGGCCCACTGTGAAAAAAGTTTGGTGACCCCAGCCTTAGAGCAATGGCAATCGTATTCTTGTTTATTAAGGCTGAAGACTTTTACCTTATCGGTAACGTTGTTAGCCAGTTCGAGGCTGCCACACAACCTCTGCCATTTCACTGCTCCATTGCATATTTTGTGGGTTTCAGATAGGCTTTGTTTAGTTTTCATCTGAAGTGGTAAAACAGGAACCTCTATAATGATAATGGAATGGAATTGCTTGGCCATGGAGACGTCGGAGGCTGCCCCCTCACCCCCCCCCCCCATCTCTCCGCCAGTGAACACATGATCACCTTTTACATTAACGAAATTATTACCTTGGGCATGGGTACCGCAATACTGTTACTGACACGAAGAATCAGTAAATCTGGTTAGTGTTTATTGTTTTATTTCCTTCAAAATGTGAACTGTGTATGTATTGCACCTACGAGTATATTTGGACCTATTATTAATGTCAAAGTAAACGCATATTTATGCTGCGTCATTCCTCATTAGCCCAAACTGATAATGTGTGTGTCTACTGATAGGCAGTTAAGGAGCTCAGAGAGAGAGAGAGAGAGAGAGAGAGAGAGAGAGAGAGAGAGAGAGAGAGAGAGCAACCAAGAAAACATAGATTTCCTATTTTAAGGATGTAAGATATCGACATCTTAATGAATATAAAAATAGCTGTTAAACTCTAACTCTGCTGGAGTTAACACTTTACTTGCCAAGCTCCCCTTTCACTCCCAGATACTCTCCACATGGCCCTACGCCATCTATGAGTAAACTTATCGACTGTTTCTGACTGACAACGGAGGGAGAGAATGATCCGACTATATATCCGGCATGTACACACGAACACACACACATACAAGCGCGCTGTTGCCATGTCAGCCATATCTCGCGTACAGGTGGACCAGGCGGAATTGTTGCAAAGTGTACATTGTCATGGCGACAGGGTCCCCATGCTTTGCTCCCTCTGTTGACTGTATGGTGGTATCACTTCTTTGGGCCTTGAAGCTTGATATATAGAGGTCTGAAGGTCTCCACGAGGTGTTTTCAACATGCAGTGTTAAGCTTGGACACTTGATCTTGATGCTGTGCAGTGTAGTGTGGCTTTGCTGTTGATTATGTTGAATGCGTTGGAAGCGTCAACTTGGAGAATGGCATCACAGTCGCGCTGCTCAAATATCTTTCTCATGGCGTGAATGACAGCCTCACGAACAGCCTGGTAGCCAGCAAATACTTGCAGGTTTCCTGCAGCTGCCCTGACATCATCATTAACCACCTCCATTATGACTTTTTCCAATGATCCGTCTCAGCACTTCCCCCACTCCTATGGGCTTACATCCTGTATTTTTATCTAAGGGGATGAAGCAGCAGGCCATCAGAGATGTAGGTGATGACAGCAAGAGGTTGCGAGCTTTCTTGTAAGGGCGGCGTGGCATTGCAGAGATCACTTGCTGCGTCGCCAAACTTGTTAGTGCTAAGAATGACTCTCCAACCGTCTTCATCCAGGCCGGCCAGCCCCTCCCTCTGTCTTCAGTGCTTTTTTCCACACCATCTCTCCTGTTATTTTCTCGAGCATGACCGTAATTGAAGGGTTGTAGGCACCGTGGAACCTGATGCATTCCTGTGCACTTGCAGGGGGATGTTTTTCCTTCAGTTGCTGTAAGGTCTCTCTGTTTTTTGGTAGCACACCACCAGAAGATTCCTTTGAGAGAGATCTTACCGCCGTATACACTTTCCCGCACGCATCTTGTTACCAAACTTTCTGGCAACATCCTCAGTGACTTACTTTCTGTCTCCTGTGAATTTTTCTTTTGCAGTGGTCTTGCCTCCTGTAGGGGATCATCTAGAGCTCCGTTCTGCCACATTGTCTGTCTTCTCTTCATTACTACCACATCTTCCTTGTGCTTACTCCTTGCGTGAGTTCTCTGGCAGAATAAATAGGGTATTATTGCCAGTATATGAAGAGCTAATGGGGCCAAGGAGCTGTTATGAGTGCAATTGTATATGAGGCGAGTCATCTCCCTGATCGTTTCTTTGGTGGCCTCACACATAGGTGGTTCAAAGAGGTTAGCTGGCGACTACTACTACTACTTTTTTTTTTTAAACGTGGCCTCCAGCCTCCCCCAATAGCCACACCTTCGCCACCATTTATTTACCTTAATATTAAATATCCTAATACATAAGAAGCTATCCTATCTGTGTTAAATTAGTTGAGCCGCAGATCTATGCGGCATTCAGTGACTGTAGCCTCGTAGTCAATATCTGCAGCAGTTGTCGGAATTGGGGCAGAAGCTCTCGTTCCCCTGAGGCAGAGCAAAGCCGACCGAAGGAGAGAGAAAGACAGTCGACATCTCATCCAGGCTGTAACAAAACTTCTGGGCTGCTGCTTCTGTTCGGAGATCACCTCCGCGAGTCTGGCGTAGAAACATCTTGCACTTGGTCCCATCCCACCAAAGGTTGTGAACACTAGGGGAGTGAAGCTGCCTTGGTCAACGTTTTGGATTCTCTCCCCATATGCCCTTATCTTGTCGTTCTCGTTCCTCCTATGTGCAGCATCGAGAGCTAGGTTACGGTGACATGCGGCCATGGGATCAAAAATCCTGATGTCGAAGAAAGCTCGCTGTCCTCGCGTCCAGAATCCTCGAGCACTGACGTCAACACGGGCTTCGTTAGATGTGTTTGAAGTCCTATGTTGGAGGATCTCACCATCCAATGGAAGGAGGGTCGGTTCTACCATGACATCCCGGCAGATTTCCTTCAACATATTTGCTGTAAGGTCCCTTACTTCATCATGCCTCATGCATATGAAGCCCCCTTTCTTGCACACCATGGCGTGATCGCCGTCATAGGAAGAGACACACACGCATTGGGAGGGCAAACCTTCTACTGGCCGACCGTACCTTAGAGCAATGGAATCTGTAAATTCTTGTTTGTTAAGACTGAAACCATTTGCCCTTATCGGTAACGTAGTTAACCAGTTCGAGGCGCCCACCTCCTGCGCTATAGCTACTTTTTTTTCAAATTTTCTGGAACCTGCAGCAACAGTTGCTGCAACTTATCATTTTGGCATTGCTGTCGATCTGTCGTAATGGACCTACGAATCTCGTTTACTTCACCGGTCACGACCTCCCCTGTTGCGTTCTGGGCTATTTCGTGGTCCGTGAGGGCTGCCGTGAGCTTAAGTGAATTTTGATGTTCGGTGGCTGCAATCTCCTCTGGATTGGTTAGTCCCAGCCCTCCCAGTCTTGATGGAAGTGCAAGAAGTTCTCTTTCTGCTGGGGTTAAGTGAGTGTGTTTCACTAATTTGGGAATGAACTTGACACTGATAGCTTCTTCCAGAGGGTGGGGGAGGGGTCCGATACCAGGGATAGTACGCATCAGGTAGTTCCAACGATGCTTGACTCCATGGGTGAATGCAGCGAAAGCCACATGTGGCTCTGTGTTAGCAATCACAGACAGAGCTTGGATTTCCCTAACCCACTCATTCACCTTTCCCGCTACGTACTCGGTCTTGAAGTCCGTAGTGCCAATTACTGTGCCTAGATGTCTTTGGCCGTCCTTAGTTATTTTGACTTCGCTTCCGCCAAAAACCTCCTTTGCCCGTTCATAATGTTCTGGCTTCACGATGAGGAAGGACTTGCTGGCGTTTGGGTGGTACCCTATTTGTGGACCTCGCGATGTTACCAAGTCCCACCACTTTTTGATGTCCTCCACTTTTCCTGCTCCTGTAAGGTCGTCAGCATACGCCACTTGTTTGACCCTAGTTGTTTCAAATTTTATTTCTTGTTGGAGCACTGATAGGCCTATTGCATACATTGCCATTGCAACAGGGTCCCCCTGTGTTGTTCCCTCGGTTGACTGTAAGATGGTATCACCTCTTAGGGCCTTGTTGTTTACTATATAGAGGTCTGATGGATTCCTATATGAGTTTTCAACGTACATTGCAAAGCTTGGACACTTGATCTTGATGTTGTGCAGTGCGGCCTTGCGGTTAAGTATGTTGAATGCGTTTGAAGCGTCGACCAGGAGAACGGTCTCACAATCACGTTGCTCAAATATCGTTCTCATGGCGTGAATGGCAGCTTCCCCTCCAGCTTGTTGTGCCAGCACAAACTTGCAGGTTCCCTGCTGCTGCCCTGACATCGTCCTTTACCACCTCCATTATGCATTTACCGATGATCCGCCTCAGCACTTCCCCCACTCCTATTGGCCTACATCCTGGATTCTTATCCAGGGGAATGAGGCGGCAGGCCGTCAGAGCATGAAGGTGATGGCAGCATGAGGATGCCAGCTTTCTTGCAAGGACGGCAATGGCCGTGCAGAGATCACTTGCTGCGGGGCCAAACTTGTTAGTGCTGAGGATGACTCTCCATCCGTTTGCATCCAGACCTGAAGGGCCGGCACCTCCCCGAGTCTTCAGTGCCTTTTTCCACACCATCCCTCCTGTTATTTTCTCGAATAGGACAGCATTTGGTGAGATATAGGCACCCTGAAACCTGATGCCTTCGTCATCACTTGCAGAGGGATGTTTTTCTTTCAGTTGTTTTAAAGTCTCTCTGTTTATTGGCAGGACCCCACCGGTGGATTCCTCTGTGAGAGATCTTACCGCCAAAGACACTTTTCCCACACGCATTTTGTTTCCAAACTTCCTTGCCGCATCATCAGTGTTTTGCTTTCCGTCTCCTGAAGATTTTAGTCTCTCCTGCAGTGTTCTTGCTTCACATAGGAGATCATCAAGGGCCCCCTTCTGCCACAATGTCAGTCTTCTCTTCATTGCTGCCGCATTTTCTTTGTGCTTAGTCTTTGTTGTGTGTCCTCTGACAGAATAGATGTGGTATTATTGCCAGTATATGAAGAGCTAACGGGGCAAGGAGGCGGTCTTGAGTGTACTCAGTTATGAGACTAATCATCTCCCGTATCATTTCTTTGGTGGCCGCACACTTAGGTGGTTCAAACAGGTTTGCTGGCGACCACCTGACAATTTCTGAGTATGTTTTTCTACGAATACTTTTTTTTTTAAACAAAATAATAACGTGGCCTCCATCCTCCCCTAATTGCCACACCTTCGCCGCCATTTTATTACCTTAAAATTAAATATCCTAATACATAAGTAGCTATCCTAGCTGTATTGAGTTAGTTGAGCCACAGATCTATGCGGCATTCAGTGACAGTAGCCTCATACTCAATATCTGCAGCAGTTGTTGGAGTTGGGGCAGAAGCTCTCGTTCCCCTGAGGCAGAGCAAAGTCGACCGAAGGAGAGAGAAAGACAGTCGACATCTCATCCAGGCTGTAACATAACTTCTTGGCTGCTGCTTCTGTTCGGAGATCACCTCCGAGAGTCTGGAGTAGAAACATCTTGCACTTGGTCCCATCCCACCAGAGGTTGTGAACACTAGAGGAGTGAAGCTGCCTTGATCAACGTTTTGAATTCTCTCCCCATATGGTGACATGCGGCCATGGGATAAAAAATCCTGATGTCGAAGAAAGCTCGCTGTCCCCGCTTCCAGAATCCTCGAGCACTGACGTCCACACGGGCTTCGTTAGATGTGTTTGAAGTCCTGTGTTGGAAGATCTCACCATCCAATGGAAGGAGGGTCGGTTCTACCATGACATCCCGGCTGGTTTCCTTCAACATATTTGCTGTGAGGTCCCTTACCTCGTCATGCCTCATGCATATGAAGCCCCCTTTCTTGCACACCATGGTGTGATCAACGTCATAGGAAGAGCCACACACGCATTGGGAGGGCAAACCTTCTACTGGCCAACCGTACCTTAGAGCAATGGCATCTGTAAATTCTTGTTTATTAAGACTGAAACCATTTGCCCTTATCGGTAACGTAGTTAACCAGTTCGAGGCGCCCACCTCCTGAGCTATAGCTACTTTTTTTCTTAAAATTCTCTGGTACTTGCAGCAACAGTTGCTGCAGTTTATCACTTTGGCTGTGCTGTCGTTCTGTCGTCATGGACCTTCGAATCTTGTTTACTTCTCTGGTATCCACCTCCCCTGTTGTGTTCTGAGCTATTATGTGGTTCGTGAGGGCTGCCGTGAGCTTAACTGAATTTTGATGTTCGGTGGCAGCAATCGCCTCTGGATTGGTCAATCCCATTCCTCCCAGTCTCGGTGGTAGCGCAAGGAGTGATTTTTCTGCTGGGGTTAAGTGAGGGTGTTTTACTAATTTGGTAATGAAATTGACGTTGATAGGTTCTTCCATAGGGTGGAGGAGGGGTCTGATATCAGGGATAGTGCGCATCAGGTAGTTCCAGTGATGCTTGACTCCATGGGTGAATGCTGCAAATGCCGCATGTGGCTTTGTGTTAGCAATCTCAGACAGAGCTTGGATTTCCCTAACCCACTCATTCACCTTTCCCATTACGTACTCGGTCTTGAAGTCCGTCGTGCCGATTACCAAACCTAGGTGTCTTTGGCCATCCTTTGTTATTTTGACCTCACTTCCACCGAACACCTCCATTGCCCGTTCATAATGTTCTGGCTTCACAATGAGGAAGGACTTGCCATCGATTGGGTGGTACCCTATTTGTGGACCTCGTGATGTTACCAGGTCCCACCACTTTTTGATGTCCTCCACTTTTCCTGCTCTTGTAAGGTTGTCAGTGTACGCCACTTGCTTGACCTCAGTTGTTTAAAATTTTATTGTATGTTGAAACACGGATAGGCCTATTGCACACATTGCAATTGCAACAGCGTTCCCCTGCGTTGTTCCCTCGGTTGACTGTATGATGGTATCACCTCTTAGAGCCTTGTTGTTTACTGTATAGAGGTCTGATGGATTCCTATAGGAAAATCATCTTGTAATTTTACAATTAGTTTGTCATGAATATAGATTACGCAGATGTACAAATTAGCATGTATAATGGCATTGCAGGTGCACAGTGTACATAGACCCCAAAGGTATACAGTTTCCAATGTAAAATCGCCCCCAAAAGTATCTCTACGATTTTGTATTAGTCAATATAATACAACAAGAGTCGCGATGTTCATCTTGAAATTCATCGAATACCACCATAAATATACTTTTTAGAGTGAGTGGGGGTACTTTAACAGTGCAGGTAAATAATCAGTAAAACAATTAGACCATGGATACGTACGATAAATCCATTCGCTGCTTATTTCCAGTAGGGTCTTTTAAACATAATTTGGATTTAATGGTAAAGATTGATGTTTGAAATTGTATGTATAATCACAAAAAGCTAAGTAAAAAGATAAATGGGAAAATTAATAGATTATAATTATGTTAAAAATCCCACAAAAGGGAATCTGTACAAAATTACATTGGTGAGGTTTTATCCTGTTCCATATAGACTGACTAAAATGATGTCGTTCAGCTTGTACGGGCTAAAGGTGATCCTTGTGCGATGAGACTTCCTACTGTGCCACTGACGCTTAAGATGCCAGGGTGTCTCAAAAAGTGTATACATACTGCGTTAAAATTTTCATGGAGAACGCATGTACGCTTATAAAGGGTGTCCACATGGAACTTTCACAAATTTGAATAAACATAACTTTCAAGTGGGATCATATAATTTAATGCAGAGAGACTCATATGTATAGTAGTATGTTGAAACGATTGGCGTGTAATTAAGTGCATGCAAGATACTCAACTAAAGTGGTTTGCTAGACGTATAGAATGCAGTGGTGAGGAAGACCCCGATCTAAAGTGCTATGTAAGACTATAATGAAGTGTTTTCAGGAAGATCAACCCCGGGAGCGTCAGCAGAGCCTCGAGCAGATGATGAGCTTGAGTAAGGTGTTCGGGGTGGAGAGTCATTTGCTAAACCCCGCCCAGATCAAGGATTTGCACCCGCTGTTGAACGTCAACGACCTGCAAAGTGCCGTGTACACTCCCACTGATGGTTTGTGTGCTCCTTCCCTCCCTCCCCTCCTTCATTCCTCCCTTCTTCCTTGTCTTTCTTGCTTCTTTCCTTTCCCTCCCTGCTTCCTTTCCTTTCAATCCCTGCCTCCTGGTTTCCCTTCCTTTCTGCCTCCCTACCCTCCTCCATTTCCATTGTTATTCCTTTGTTATATTATTATTGGTATTAGCAGATGTACACCTGCGCATATACACTACACATTGTCTCCTGTAGTAGATGGCTGTTCCTGCAGGTTCAATGGATCCAGCTGGCATTTGCCTGGCGTTGACGCGGGCGGCGAGATGGGCAGGGGCTCGGGTGGTCGAAGGATGCCGGGTCACCGACATCACTACAGCAGAGACGACGCTGGGGGGCAGAAAGGTGACTGAGGTACACACAACCAGAGGCGTCATCAAGACAAATGTTGTCGTCAACGCTGCAGGTATTACAGGGCTACTAGATATCAGGTCCTCTCACGAAGTGCACACACACACACCTGTAAGGCCTATGAGTAGTGGGACTTGCCAGTAGACTGTCCCACTTAAAAGTAACTTTGCTTGTAGTTATTTAGAGTCCCATTGTGATCAAAAAAATATCAGAGACTGTCGATAATTGATGTCTACCTTGGTTTCACGTCTTCCATAAAGGTGAATGAGATATACACGACATTTGTGTGTATGTACGAGGTGTATTTACAGACCCAAACTACAGCTGTACAGAGAAATAGGCTGGCTCCGTGATCTAGTACTGAGGTTGTTATAGTGTTAGTTGCTCTAGAGCTCAGGTGGTCTCAGTGTTAGGTATTCTAGTACTGAGGTGTTCTCAGTGATAGATGTGTACTGTCTGGGGTCCAGCAAAAGACAAACTCAAGGGCCTGGCATGTAACCACGCCCGGCGAGTGTAATTCACACACACACCCCGAGAGTCATCCGTGAGTCAAGCTTCTAGAAGGTTCTCGAAGGAATAAGTAGTCACCTTCTTGGAATGTACTGCCGACAACCAGTCAGCAGTGTTGACGTCACGTTTTATAAATAACCGGTTGGAAAAGATCTCATTGACCCATGAATCATTCTTAACTGATGGTGCTGCCATCTATATACATTAATTATCTAACTATCTAAAATACTTGACTCATTGCATGTGTGAAGAAAAGTATCCAATTACCAAATATGAGTAATCAAGTCAGCTATGATACAATGATATGAGATATTAAGGATGTCACCTAGGTTGGTGAGTTCTGAGGTGGCTAAAGAGGCCGATATGGGACCGATAGGGTCGATCACTGATGTTGCACATGTGGGGGACAACAGCTGGTGTGGGAGGGGCGGCGGCAGCGTCTTTCCGGCATTGGCATTTGTCTACCTTGTAATAGCCGGTTAACTGTTGATTCTGTCGAAGTTAATTAGGTTGGTACATTTATATGATGATGGGTTTTAGTTGCGAAACCCAATTGTCTGTTTATCCATTTATTTAGGAACTGCTAGTGATACAATTCCTGAGTGTAAATCAACCGTAACTTTCACTATAACTATGAGGGTTAAGAGAAGGACGGAGGCTATGTAAATAGACCTGTTAATCACGTCCGACTTGTGTGAGGGGTTGAGTAGCAATCTAATGAGTAGTGACCCATCGAGGGAGAACGGAATATGTATGTTGCTCTCCCTCTAGGGAAGACGGAACCATCCACGATGGCTCTCAAATAACGTCTTCCTCTAGTCAAGGATATGAAACTACTGCCCACTTTAGGTGGCCAGGGAGCCGGCTACTTAATGCCTTAACTCAGCATAATATGATGCAGCTTCCCATGGGCACACCCTATTACGCGCTCTGAACATGTCACCTCATAGCTAGTGGAAAGTTACAGGGGATGATATGGTATATAAATCAAATGTAATTAACCCATTTATATAATCCTTCTGTGTATGAAACAGGGGCCATTACAACATCGTTATGCAGTCGGGCTAACTCGAAAGTAGTGACACCTTCTCGTGTGGTGATCCTCCAAGTGTCACAGTGTGGAGTAATTGTCTCCCAGGTAAGGGGGTCGAATTGGCACCTTTTCAGTTGCACGCCAGCATTATGTTTATTATTCGTTAGGTGACTGTAAAGTAATTGCTTTGAAAGTCTACTGTCGTCCATGTGAGTAACATGGCAAGTCCAGCGTAGTTGTTCATGGATAATGGTAGTCACGAAGCTTCTACAGTTGGTGTCAGCGAGAATACTGTCATTTGATCTCTTGTCTTCCCAGTGAACATGGAGGATGGAACGTAAACTAAGTTGGTGAAAGTTTTCAAGTGCCTTGAGGTGTCTCCTGTATGTGACCCATGTCTCTCTGCCATATAGCATGTGGGGAGGACCACTGCTCGATGTACGTGTAACTTTGTAGATAATTTCAGCTCCCTACAGCTGAAGACACTGTTTCGTAGTCTGCGAAAGCCTTGAGATGCACATCTGATCCGATGCTGTCTCTTCATTGATGTTTGCAGTGGTCGACAGGTGGGAGCCGAGATACCGAAAGTGGGTAACATTAGAGAGGGTAGTACCGTTAAGCTGGATGGATGGTGGACGTGTTTCTGAACAAGGGGCAGGCTGAAAGAAAATCCGAGTCTTACGTACATTCGCCCCAAGGCTGAAGTGTACATACGCATCTGCGTAGGTGTTCAGGATCTTCTGTAGGTCGCGTTCAGTGTGAGCGACAAGGGTGAGGTCCTCTGCATACTGAAGCTCAGTAATGGAAGCTACACATTTGTTCCTGCCTGGAGTCGTCTTATGTTGAAAAGACCCTTCATCCGGTACTCGATATCCACCCGCTGGCCAAATTGGCGCTGGCACGATAAAGAAAAGCAACCAAGAAAATGGAAAAGAGAGTTGGATGGGGAAGAATTCAAACTGGGTGCCATTGTGCAGGATACTGACTCTCATGCTATCGTGGCGTTGCCTCACAAGGACGAGGAATTTTGGTGGGCAGCCAAAACGCCTGCACGTTTCCTGCATCTGATGGGCAGCATAGATCATGTCAGTGGTGCCAAGTGATGGTCTAAGGCTACATTAAAATTCTGGGAGGAAGTTTTCCGCCTCAGGAAGAAATGTGTTTAGGAGAACTCGGGCGATAATCTTGCCAGCTACGGACAGCAGTGAGATCCGCGGTAGTTGCCACAGTCTGACCGGTCTCCCTAGTTCTTATAAATATTGACGATTAAGGCGTCTTTAAGAGTTTTAGGGATATTTTCCTCCTTTTCCCATATATTCTCCAAGAGAGAGTGGAGACGGCTGGTAAGCAGAGGTTCTCCTGCTTTATACACCTCGGCTGGGATTCCATCAGGCCCTGAGGCTTTGTTATTTTTCATCTGTTTGATGGCAGCAGCTACCTCATCCAGGGATGGAGGATGGCCGAGGAAGGTTAGCTCTGGATGCTGAGTGGCCGGCGGGTTAGTCAGGACATCCAAATCGGTGTTTCGGTTTAGCAGTGAAGGGTAGTGCTCTTTCCAGTGCTGAAGGAGGCCTTCATTGTCTCTAATTATGGAGTTACCGTTGGATGAGCGGAGGGGGTCTGTGCAATGAAAAGTTGGACCATAAATGATTTAGTGGAATTGAAAAATTCGTGCAACATGAGCTGATCTGCAAATTTTTGTGTGTCACATGCTTTATTTTTAAACCAGTCATTCTTTAGATTGCTAAGTTCCTGCTGGGCTACCACTTTCTTCTTGAGGAAGGTATCAGCTTTGGTCCGAGACTGAGGGTTGTTCTGGCAGTTAATTAAAGCAGCATGTTTATCATCGACCAGTACATTGATTGCCGGGTCATTTTCATCAAACCAGTCCTGGTGTATTATTTAGATCTGGCCGTGGGTCTCTCTGCAGTTTTTTGTCATTGCAGTGTCGAGAATATCCCATTCGACACTGGGATTTGGGTTGTTTGTTGTTGGGTTGTTTATCAGCCCATTTTGGAGATTCTCTATGAAAGCATGTGCTATCACTGGGTCCTCCAGACGCTTAGTGTTAAAGCCTCTTCTGGAGGCTTGCTGCCTTCGCCGTTTTGGGGTGACGTGAGGACAGAGCTTGGCTCTGATGAGCCGATGATCAGTGTCGCAGTGGTCTGGCCATGCATGGCACGGGTGATGAGGACATCTCGGCGATCTCTTTCTCTGACAATGATGTAGTCAATGAGATGCCAGTGTTTGGATCGTGGGTGTTGCCACGAACCCTTGAACTTGTCGGCCTGCCTAAACAAGGTATTGGTGATAGTGAGGTTGTATACAGCCCACTTGCTGAGGAGGAGTAGGCCGTTGGGATTACACTTGCCTAGTCCATTTCTCCCTATGGTTCCCTGCCAAATGTCAGCATCTCTGCCAACTCTGGCATTGAAATCACCAAGGAGCACAACCTTATCTTCTCTGGGGATCAAGGTTTGCACTCTGTCGAGGTCGGCGTAAAAGGCCTCCTTGATGCCACCCTCTGCATCCAGTGTTGGGGCGTATGTACTGATGAAAAAGGCATGACGTGAGAGATTCAGTGGGACTCGGAGTGTCATGAGGCACTCGTTGATCCCAATAGGAATTTGACTTAGCCTATGTCGGATGAGTTGGCGGATGGCAAATCTAACTGCATAAATGCGGTTTCTCTCTGCTGCATGCTTACCCTTCCAGAAAAATTTATTGCCAGACCTCCGTTCTGTGAGTTGACCGTCGTCTGGGAACCGGGACTCACTAATGGCTGCTATGTCGATGTTATACCTAGCCAGCTCTTTTGCCACAAGGGTGGTTCTTTCAGGACGTGCATTTGTGCCAGTATCCAGAAGGATCCTGACATCCCATTCAGCAATCATATGAGGTTGTATAGTTTGTTTTTGTTTGAACCTGAGATTTTTTGTGTTTTCGACCGCATAAGGATGACCTTACTGGGTGCTGTTGCCCAGTCAGGTTGGTTTTTAGGTAGGCTATGTTTAGGGCACCTTATCTAGCCCCCTCTCCGTATGGGGTGAGGAGAGTGGCTTTTCGAAAGGGCTGCTTAGTCGCACAGACAGGGTCTGATTAAACTGCTGCCTAGATCCCAGTGCATAAACAACCTTCTTATCTGTGCCGCCCATATGCAGAGATGTGACTAGACTTCCGGCAGTTGTTTCTGTCTGTCCCCGTCGCTACTCGTCCGTCGCCATAGGACTTTGGGGGTATAGGGGTTTTGATGATGATGATGAGAAGTATGATGACCTGGATGATGGCTGTGCGTGAGTTGATTTATGTGGTGAGGCAGGAGCGCAGGCTGCAACTACACGTCTTGGCTCTACCTTTTCCTGATCCAGTGGTGCAAGTGTTGCAACCGACTAGGTAGAGGGAGAGTTGCAATGGACTGCCGATAGCCCAGTTTGTTGGGTTTCGCCTTAGTAGCCTGTCCATCATGCATTGCCTTCGTCTGCTGGTGTAGTAGTTGGGTTCCCACGTTGGTCACTGTAGGTTATGTATCTATGCTACTGTGCCGAGTAGCAACCTTGTAAATAAGCTACTGTGCCGAGTAGCATCTATGTATATAATTACGTGGCAACACTGCACGTGTTATGTGGCAACATTGCCCCGAGGCTGCCATATAGCAAGGCAGTCTCAGTCTGACTGTGTGAGCCGTGCATGGCACACGCTAGTCACCACTTGTAATTCTCTTATCCATAAATAAATGGACTTCAGTGTTACCCGGTGTTTCCCTACCCATCACTGCATTCTTCAGGGAACACTTGTAACCTTCAGTCACCTCTTCTGCCTATACCACCGTCGGGGTCTTGTTGAAGCTCTTTTAGTATGTATGCCTGATGTGGGGCTCCACCTTATATTTTGCATTTGGGGTTTACTCCCATAGCCTTATACTCGTACTTACCAAGGTTTATGGGCAGGCAGCGGGGCAATGGTTGGTATGCACTAGGACGTGTCCACATGCCAGTGGGCCTGTGTGCCGTCGCTTTGGGGCCCACTGCTACTCCGAGATCCCCTGCTGGTCTAACCTGGGCACCCAGTTACCGTGTGTTGCCACGAGAAGGCACAGCAGGTGTCTTAAAGGTGAAGAAGAGGTAGCTGAAAGGGAGAGGGAGCAGGCGGTGCTTGCACTTTAACACTAACACTATGCTGCCACACTAGACGCATTTCACTATCCTGTGTGCGAATACACACACACACGCACACACACACGCACACACACACACACACACACACACACACACACACACACACACACACACACACGTTTTTTCCATCAGCTCTTCGTGATTAAGAAGGAAGAGACAGGTAAACCCAAATACAAAATGAATGGGAAAATTGAGTACATTTATACATGGAAGTATTACATAAACGTTCTTCGTGTCTATTATAGTTGAGTCACTGAAGAAACCGATGTCTTTTTCCCTGCTTAAACGCTTCGCCTCTACCCCATTTGAAGACTGCTGTTACTACTGTTGCTGCAAATGATAATTAGTACAGTATACTACAGTGCAATTTGATATTATTATTATTATTATTATTATTATTATTATTATTATTATTATTATTATTATTATTATTATTATTATTATTATTATTATTATTATTATTATTATTATTATTATTATTATTATTATTATTATTATTATTATTATTATTATTATTATTGCTTATTATTATGGCATGTTAAACCTTTGTATGACTCGGCAGGAGGATGGAGCAATGATATCGCAAACATGGTGGGGTTACAGGTGCCCCTCCAGATCTACAGGCACGGCTACCTGGTCACAGATAGCATCCCAGGCTTCAAGGTTGTCCCCAACGTCCGTAACTATTCCGGCTCCAGCTACCTAAAGCCTCAGGGAGAAGGATTTACCGTTGGGGTGTTCGAGGTTAACCCCGTCCCCATTGACAAGGTGAGGAAAGGAGAAACTGTCCAGCAATCGTTATTTATTGTATTGTTTTGTTCGTCAGACGAGTTTGATCCTGGCGTAATTTTATATATACATTTTCAAGAATAAAAATGAGGTTCAGAATATAAAAGCACCATGTTAGACAATAGTGAATACAATCAAAGTAATCTATGATGTATGAAATTTTACAAGGGGTAAGTTGTGCAGGGTTGTAGCTCAATATAGTTTTTTTAGAGCATCATCTAATTAGTAAGAAATTTGTATTGTTATTTTGAAAATATTAACTTAATAGGACATTTTTACACCTTTTCTAAGGTACAGCTATAAGCAAGATGACTTCAGAGTATTGTATCAAATAATCTTTCAAACTTCTGTATGACTCTTTAAGTAATTTATGACGCGCAAAAGTGTCCACTGTAATATTATATGCAGTATAATCTTTTTAAAATAACAATGAACACGAAATTGATTCGTGATGTCCGATAAGACCTTAGATAATTAAAATATTTCTGTCTCCCGCTATCACTCATACTAGTCTATTCGTTTTCTGTTAATATAGAGAATAGAGAGCACGATAGTGTTTTTTTGGATAACTACTCTGTAATTAATATTCTTTTAAAATACTGTTAGTATTATTCTATTAACAGTGGACATTTTGCTGTGACCGGTAAGTTCCTACTAACGCTATTTTTCCTTGAGTGCGGTCTGATTGGCTAATCGTCCATATACCGGCGAACAACGCGAGAACTATACGACGTATTTGATTATGACTGGCGTCATTCAGCATTTATTTCCGCCGCTAGTCAATCGTTATGTAGCTGTAAACATACCTAACCATATTTCTGTTGTGCATGGAAATTTTTTATTATAATAAAGAGGCGACATTTACAAGAACCTAATAGAACCTAACCTAACCTAACCTAACCAACCTAACCTAACCAACCTAACTTCCTACCGGGGCTGACCCCCGTCATATTAAACAGAAAGTACTTAGCCAATCAAAGCGCACTCACGGTAAAATAGTTAGTCGGAACTTACCCGGGCACGGCAAAATATCCACTACGTATTGTATTTACAGTACCTACTCTGCATTGGATTTATAGACATCATGTAACATATAGATTTGATATACAAAATACTGAAAACTTTCAAGACATGTTGGTGAACGTTCATATGAAGTACAGGTATTAGCTTAGTACAGCGTCACATTAACTTAGTCCATTGAATAAGATGGTAATAACGTAATACTCTGGAACCAAATTTGGCCGAAATAGCCAAAGGCGAAGCGATCAGTAAACCCAAGAAACCAGCATACTCGTGATGACCATCAAATTTAGGAAAACAAAATCTTTCCTTTATAATATAAAGAAAGTAGATGAATTGCAAATTTCTTGCTTTTATTTTTCCCTAATTATTGTTAAGGTAATAATATCCGTGTACGCGAGGAGGCCATGTTTTATCGTTGACGTACGCTTCCCAACGACCTTTCCATACCTTACCTTACCTTACCAAAAAGTCTAACTTAACCGCAAATTAAGCTACCAGACCTAACCTAAGTTAATATAACTGTGCATCCATCCTAAAATAGGATGGATACTATACTATTACTATTACCTGTATTACTACAGTACAGTACTACTACTACTACTTTTTTTTAAACTTGGCCTCCAGCTTCCCCCAATAGCCACACCTTCGCCACCATTTTATTACCTTACAATTAAATATCCTATTACAAAAGTAGCTACCCTAGCTGTGTTGAGTTAGTTAAGCCACAGATTTATGTGGTATTCAGTGACTGTTGCCTTAAAGTCAATATCTGCGACCGTTGTCAGGTTTGGGGCCAAAGATCTCGTTCCCCTGATGCAAAGCAATGCAGATCTAAGTGGAGAGGACAGTCCACATCTCAACCAGACTGCAATGTAATTTCAGGACTGCTGCTTCTGTTCGGATAACACCTCGGCCAGTCTTGCATAGAAGCATCTTGCACTTAGTCCCATCCCGCCAGAGGTTGTGAACACCAGAGGAGTGAAGCTGCCTTAATCAACATTCTGGTTTCTCTCCCCATATACCCTGTTCTTGTCATTCTCGTTCCTATTGTGTGCAGCATCGAGAGCTAGGTTCCAGTGACATGCGGCCATGAGGTAAAAAATCCTAATGTCAAAGAAGGATTACTGTCCCCGCATCTAGAATTCTCGAGCACTGACGTCCACTCATAAAAAAATTGTATTCACTCTCGATTGCCCTGACTGTTAAAGTCTATAATCCTTACAAAGTTTTCTGTTTAATACTCTGGGCACAGTCTATTGCTAACCCTGTGAACGTGATTCAGTTTCAGTTGCTTCACTACCCGCCACACATAACATGTTCAGTGATTGTAGGACTTCGTGACCAACGTATCTCTTGCTCTCATGCCTGAATGAACCTCACCACCATGTTCTGAAGAATGAACAAATTGTAGCTTGGATTTTAGCTTTTGTGTCAAGGCAGAGTACCATGACGAGCAGGAATAGTCCAAGTACCATCGTATAAGCATCAAACAAAGGATCCTACGGGCCTCAGGTGAGAGGCATTTAGCATATCTATTGAGAAATTTTATTCTGGGATTACTATTTTTTTTACTATGTTATCTATGATTAATTCACCAGACAAACAAGAGTCAATAGTTAGCCCAAGGTGTTACATTGAGGTTACAGTTGAGATGGTTCATTCCCACAGAGTACAATTAATTCGTTAACCCTTTTGAATTAATTTTTGATTCATATAATATTGCTTCAGTCCTTCCAAGATGTAGGGATAATTTGTTATCTATGGGCCATTGTTTGCATGACTCCATTTCAGATGATAATTCGTTCGCTATATCATTTGGATCTTTACCTAACACTGAAAGAGCATTGTCATCAGCACACAACAGAAGCTTGCAATTAACACTAATGGGCATGTCAATTACATGACATTGGAATAGTAATGGTCCAAGGATACTCCCCTGTGGGACTCCACAGGCTATCAATATGGATGTTGACTGTTTATTTACAACAGCTATTTGTTTCTTGTTGTTAAGAGACGATTTAAACCAGTCAACAGATCCATTGCCAAGAGCCTGCAGTTTTGCACATCGTATAATATAGTCCACCGTGTCGAAAGCTTTATGGTTTCTGATAGGTGTCAATTGAGTGAGTGCCCCTAAAACCATGTTTGGTAGCTGTACAAAATATCATAATCGGGAGATATCTTTCCACCTAAACAAACACTGTTCTCTGTAGAATTTTAAGATACAATACACAGGATGCTATCTGGTCTATAATTACCTACATCAGATCTGTCACCTTTCTTATAGCCAGGTGTTACTATGGCAAACTTATGTTCATCGGGTACGGTATGCATCATAATGTAAACAATTGAACATGATGTCACCATGAGCGAGGCGCTTCCAGGTTAGTTCATGGTCAGGACGAAAACAGTCGCCCCCCAAAAAAATAATAAATTGCGAAAGTTGCATTTCCTCCAATCGTCAAGGCCTTTCTAGAGTGCAGGATAATACTGTAAGTGACTATCTTTCAGGTACCAAGACTTCCATAAACTTAAAGTTCTTCCAATTACTCTAGGAAGGCTATGATTTTAAGCCATATTTTTCCTATTCGTGCAATGTTGGACCCTGAGACGACGCTTTAAAATTCTCAAGTCTGGTTACCAGTTTCTTTAGTATTATTATATCACCAAATTTCTCCTTATTAGCTTTATAACGTTTTCTATATCTAAGATTCTTAAAGTATAGCCTTCATCATATACCACTTTCTTTAATATTTCTTTCACCTTTACAGCTAAGTCCGGACTTTTCCTTCGGGCTGTACGAGCCGAACTGGGATATATTCGGGGATATGATGCAGACAGCAGCGATCATTATGCCCGCCCTGGAGACGGTGGGCGTTAAGTCCACCATCTACGGCCCAGAGTCCTTCACCCCTGACGGCAAGGCTATCGTGGGTCAGTTCTACGAGGTCACATGTTGCCCTACTACTTGGGTTCAATGTTTCTGTTGTTCTTATTCATCTTTAATTTGCTTCTTAATATCCGTTTTCTTCTCTTTTTCTTTTCCATTTCATTCTTCGTGCTATGTACCACACATCTGTCCCTCTCTCATCCATCACAAATCTGCCCCACTCATTCGTTCAACACACATGTGTCCCTCTCGTCCACCACACATCAGTCCCTCTCTCATCCACCACACATCCGTCCCTCTCGTCCACAAATCTGCCCCACTCGTCTACTACACATATGTCCCTCTCGTCCACCACACATCTGTCCCTTTCATCCACCACACATCTGTCCCTCTCGTCAACCACACATCAGCCTCACTCATTCGTCCACCGTACAATTGTTCCTCTCATCCACCGTACATCTGTCCCTCTCATCTACCACACATCAGCCCCTCTCGTTCACTACAAATCTGCCCCACTCGTCTACTACACATCTGTCCCTCTCGTCCACCACACATCTGTCCCTCTCGTCCACCACACATCTGTCCCTCTCATCCACCACACATCAGCCCCTCTCGTCCACCACAAATCTACCCCACTCGTCTACTACACATTTGTCCCTCCCTTCCCCCACACATCTGTCCCACTCGTCTACCACACATCTGTCCCTTTCGTCCACCAATCTACCCCACTCGTCTACTATCCTCCCTTCCCCCACACATCTGTCCCACTCGTCTACCACATCTGAAACCTTTCTGTCCACACACATCTGTCTCTCTCGTCCAAACATCAGCCTCGCTCATTCATCCACCGTCCATTTGTTCCTCTCGTCACACAAATCTGCCCCACTCTTCTTCTACATCTAACCCTATCGTCCCTCACACATCTGTCCCTCTCGTCCACCACATCTGTCTCCTCTCGTCCACCAAACATCTGTCCTCTCATCCACCACACATCAGCCCTCTCGTTCCACCACAAATCTACCCCACTCGTTCTACTACACATCTGTCCCTCTCGTCCCCACATCTGTGCCACTCGTCTACCACACATCTGTCCTCTTGTCCACACATCTGTCCCTCTCGTCAACCACAAATCTGCCTCATTTTACCACACATCTGTCTCTCTCATCCACCCACATCTGTCCCTCTCGTCCACCACATCTGTCCTCTCGTCCAACATCTGTCCTCTCGTCCACCACACATCTGTCTCTCTCATCCACCATACATCTGTCCCCTCGTCCACCACACATTTGTCCCTCTCGTTCACCACACATCTGTCCCTCTCATCCACCATACATCTGTCCCCCTCGTCCACCACATCTGTCCCTCTCGTCCCACAAATCTACCCCCTCGTTCTACTACATCAGCCCCTCTCGTTCACCACACATCTGTCCCTCTCTGTCCACCACATCTGTCTCTCTCATCCACCACACATCTGTCCCTCTCGTCCACCACACATCTGTCCCCTCTCGTCCACCACACATCTGTCCCTCTCCTCCTACAATCTACCCCACTCGTTCTACTACACATCAGCCCCTCTCGTTCACCACATCTGTCCTCTCGTCCACCACACATCTGTCCCTCTCGTTCACCACACATCTGTCCCCTCTCGTCCACCACACATCTGTCCTCTCGTCCACCACATCTGTCTCTCTCATCCACCATCTGTCCCCCTCGTCCACCACACATCTGTCCCTCTCGTTCACCACACATCTGTCCCTCTCATCCACCATACATCTGTCCCCCTCGTCCACCACACACATCTGTTCCTTTCGTCCACCACCACATCTGTCCCTCTCGTCCACCACCATCTGTCCTCTGTCACACATTTATCACCTCTCTTCCACCACACATCTGTCTCTCGTCCACCACACATCTGTCTCTCTCATCCACCACACATCTGTCCCTCCTCGTCCACACATCTGTCCTCTCGTCCACACATCTGTCCCTCTCGTCCACCACACATCTGTCTCTCTCCCACCATACATCTGTCCCCTCGTCCACCACACATTTGTCCTCTCGTTCACCACATCTGTCCCTCTCATCCACCACACATCTGTCCCCCTCGTCCACCACACATCTCCTCCTCTCGTCCACCACAAATCTGCCCCACTCGTTCACTACCATCAGCCCTCTCCGTTCACCACACATCTGTCCCTCTCGTCCACCACACATCTGTCTCTCATCTACATCTGTCCCTCTCGTCCACCACACATCTGTCCCTCTCGTCCACCACACATCTGTCCTCTCGTCCTCAATCCACTCGTTTCTACTACATCAGCCCTCTCGTTCCACCCATCACCTCCTCTCGTCACCACATCTGTCCCTCTCGTTCTACATCTGTTCCTCTCGTCCACATCTGTCCTCTCGTCCACCACACATCTGTCTCTCATCCACCATAATCTGTCCTCGTCCACCACACATCTGTCCCTCCTGTTCACCACACACATCTGTCCCTCTCCATCCACCATACATCTGTCCCCCCTGTCCACCACACATCTGTTCCTTTCGTCCACCACACATCTGTCCCCTCCTGTCCACCATACATCTGTCCCTCTAGTCCACCACACATTTGTCACCTCTCCACCACACATCTGTCCCTGTCCACCACACACATCTGTCTCTTCATCCACCATACATTCCTCCTCGTCCACCACACATCTGTTCCTTCTGTCCACGACACACATCTGTCTCTCTCATCCACCATATCTTATCCCTCTAGTCCACCACACATTTGTCACCCCTCTTCCACCACATCTGTCCCTCTCGTCCACCACACATCTGTCCCTCTAGTCCACCACACATTTGTCACCCTCTTCCACCACACATCTGTCCCTCTCTGTCCACCATACATCAGCCCCCCTCGTTCACGACACATCTGTCCCTCCATCCACCACACAACAGTGCCCTCCTGTCACACACATCTGTCCCTCCTTGTCCACCGCACATCTGTCCCTCTTGTCCACCACACATCCGTCCCCTCTTGTCCCCACATTCTGTCCCTCTTGTCCTCCACATTTGTCCCTTCCTCTCATCAACACATCTGTCCTCTTGTCCTCCACACATCTGTCCCTCTCGTCCACCACACAACAGCCCCTCCTGTCCACACACATCTGTCCCTCTCTGTCCACCACATTCTGTCCTCTCCATCCACACATCTGTCCCTCTTGTCCACCACACATCTGTCCCTCTCGTCCACCACACATCTGTCCCTCTCGTCCACCACACATCTGTCCCTCTCGTGCAACACACCTGTCTCCTTTCGTCCACCACACATATGTTCTCTTTGCTCACCACACATCTATTCCTCTCGTCCACCACACACATCTGTCCCTCTGTCCACCACACATCTGTCCCTCCCGTCCAACACACCCCTCCTGTTCCACATCACATCTATCCCTCTCATGCACCACACATCTGTCACCTTGTCCACCACACATCTGTCCCTACTGTCCACCACACATATGTTCTCCTGTCCACTACACACTGTTCTTTCTGTCCACCATACATCTGTCCCTCTCCTGACCACCACACATCTGTCCCTCCTGTCCACCACATCAGCCCCTCCTCCATCACGACATCTATCGCCTGTGTACCACACACTGGTCCTCCTGTCCACCGCACATCTGTCTCTCTCTGTCCACCACACATCTGTCCCTTTCTTCCACCACACATCTGTCCCTCCTGTCCACCACATCACATCCGTCTCTGTCCACCACACATCTCCATTTGTCCACTCACACATCTGTCCCTCTGTCCACCACACATCTGTCCCTTTCTTCCACCACACATCTGTCCTCCTGTCCACCACACATCTGTCCCTATCGTCCACCTCACATCTGTCCTTCTGTCCACCACACATCTGTCCTCTGTCCACCACACATCTGTTCCTTTGTCCACCACACATGTCCCTATCGTCCACGCCATATCTGTCCTTTCCTTCCACCACACATCCGTCCTCCGTCCACTTAACATCTCCATTCTGTCCACCACACATCTGTCCCTCCTGTCCACCACACATATGTCCCTATCGTCCACGTCACATCTGTCCCTCTCGTCCACCACACATCTGTCCCTCTCGTCCACCACACATCTGTCCCTCTCTGTTCACCACATGTTCCACTCATTCTTCCACCACACATCTGTCCCTCTGTCCACGTCCACATCTGTCCCTCTCTGTCCACCACACATCTGTCCCTCCTGTCCACCACACATCTGTCCCTATCGTCCACGTCACATCTGTCCCTCTCTGTCCACCACACATCTGTCCCCTGTCCACCACACATATGTCCCTATCGTCCACGTCACATCTGTCCCTATCGTCCACCACAAATCTTTCCCCTCTGTCCACCACACTCTATGTCCTCTTGTCCACCACACACTGTCCCTCCTTGTCCACACAAATCTGCACCACTGTCTACCACATATGTCCTCTGTCCACCAAACATCTGTCCTTTCCTCTTCCACCACATATCTGTCCCTCTCATCCACCACACATCAGCCCCTCTGTCCACCATAACTCGTGCACCTGTCACACACAACTGTTCCTCTTGTCCACTACACTTGTGTCACTCCTGTCCAACACACATCTGTCCCCTCGTCCACCCACACATCTGTCCCATTTCCACCATACAGATGTTCCTCCTGTCCACTACACATCTGTCCCTCTCGTCCACCATAATCTGCACCACTGTCCACCACACATCTGTCCATTTCTGTCCACCCACACATATGTTCCACGTCCACCACACATCTGTCCCTATCGTCCACCACACATCTGTCCCTGTTGTCCACTCACACATCTGTCCCTCCTTGTACACCACACATCAGCCCCTTGTTCACCACACAACTGTGCCTCCCTGTGCGCCACATTTGTCCCTCTCGTACACCATACATCAGCCCTTCTCTGTCCACCACACATCTGTCCCTCCTGTCCACCGCACATCTGTCCCTTCCCCACCACTGCACATCGTCCCTGTCCACCACACATCTGTCCCTCTCTCCATCAACACATCTGTCCCTCTTGTCCACCACACATCTGTCCCCCTCGTTCCACCCTACACCTGTCCCCTGTCATCCACCACACATCTGTCCCTCCCTGTCCACCACACATCAGCCCCTCGTTCCACGACATACATCTGTCCCTCTCGTCCACCACACATCTGTCCTTCCTCGTCCACCACACATCTGTCCCTCCTGTCCACCACATCTGTTCCTTTCTGTCCACCACACCTGTCCCCCCTGTCCACCAAACATCTGTCCATTTTGTCCACCACACATCTGTCCCTCTCCTGTCCACCACACATCTGTTCCTTTCTGTCCACCACACATCTTCCCTCGTCCACCAAACATCTGTCCCTCTCTGTCCACCACACATCTGTCCCTCGCCCACTCCACACATCTGTCTCTCTCTCCACCACACATCTGTCCCTTCCTGTCCACCACACATCTGTCCCCCTGCCCACCTGCACATCTGTCCTTCCGTCCACCACACATCTGTCCCTCTGTCCACCACACATATGTCCCTCTCTTACACCACACACATCAGCCCCTCCTTGTTCACCACAAATCTGTCCTCTCTGTGCACCACGCATCTGTCCCTCTCTCCACCACACACATGTGTCTCTCCTGTCCACCACACATACGTCCCTCTTGTCCACCACACATCTGTTCCTTTGTCCACCACACATGTGTCCCTCCTGTCCACTACACATCTGTCTCTCCTGTCCACCACACATCTGTCCCTCTTGTCCACCTCACATCTGTTCCTTTCTGTCCACCACACATATGTCCCTCTCTTACACCACACATCAGCCCCTCCGTCCCTCCACACATCTGTCCTCTTGTCCACCACACATCTGTTCCTTTGTCCACCAACGTGTCCCTCTCTGTCCACTACACATCTGTCTCTCTCGTCCACCACACATATGTCCCTCTCTTACACCACACATCAGCCCTCTGTCCATCCACACATCTGTCCCTCTTTGTCCACCACACATCTGTCTTTCTCTGTCCACTACACATGTGTCCCCTGTCGTCCACCACACATCTGTCCATTTCTGTCCACCACACATCAGCCCCTCTCGTCCACCACACATCTGTCCCTCCCTGTCCGCCACACATGTGTCCCTCTCGTCCACCACAACATCTGTCCCTCTCTGTCCATCCACACATCTGTCCCTCTTTTCCACCACACATCTGTCTCTCTCGTCCACCACACATGTGTCCCTGCCGTCCACCACACATCTGTCCATTTCTGTCCCTCCGCACATCTGTCCCTCTTGTCCACCACACATCTGTTCCTTTCTGTCCACCACACATCTGTCCCTCTGTTCACCACACATCTGTCCCTCTTGTCCACCACACATCTGTCCCTCCGTCCATCCACACATCTGTCCCTCTTGTCCACCGCACATCTGTCCCTCTGTCCACCATACATCAGCCTCTCTCGTTCACGACACATTTGTTCCTCTGTTCACCACACATCTGTCCCTCCTGTGCACCACACATCTGTCCTACTGTCCACCACACATCTGTCTCTGTCGTCCTGCACACATCTGTCCCTTTCGTCCACCACACATCTGTCCCTCTCGTCCACCACACATCTGTCCCTCTCATCCACTACACATCTGTTCATTTCGTCCACCACACAGCTGTCCGTCCTGTCCACCACACATCTGTCCCTCTCATCTACTATACATCTGTGCCTCTCGTCCACCACACATCTTTTTCCTCTATTTCACCGTACATTTGTCCCTTCCTGTCCACCGTACATTTGTCCCTCCTGTCCACACACATCTGTCCTTTTCGTCCGTCACATCTGTCCCTCTCGTCCACAGATATTTGTCTCTCTTGTCCACCACAGATCTGTCCTTCTCGTCCATCATACATCTGTCCCTTCCCATTCATGTCCTTCTCTGTCCACCACACATCTTTTTCCTCTCATTCACCGTACATTTGTCCCTCTGTCCACACCATACATCTCTCCCTCTCGTCCACCTCACATCTGTCCCTCTCTACCCTTCTATCTGTCTTCGTCGTATCGTAAGCATAATCAGAAATATTTACCAATGTAAATTGGGAATTACAGTGAGACCTACAGAAGCATTTTCTATGAAGTTGTATGGTGACTCTTTGATTCATACGTCACTTAAATAATGATGATTCACATAGCTTATAGGTGAGGTAAAGCACTCAGGTTCTTAGTTATTGCTGCACATGGGATTTTTTTCTTAGCCCTGAAGAATAGTTTAGCCCATGATAATTATGGTTTAGCCTTTCCAACCTCTAAAATATGACTAATGCCTTGTAAGTTATAGCCCTCGATACACCAGTTTCTCGGGTCGGAAGACTGCTACATGTCAAATACGAGATGGGAGAGTTATTCAGTCACGGAGCTCAGTGTGGGTGTTTTAGGTAGGCACGAAACACAAAACTGCAGCTTTTGACAGACACATCACTAAAGACGGGGACATGAGACAGTTATAAATCACCAGAGTCACATGTTACAGGCAATTCGCTAACATTAAGGGAAAACTGTGAGTACTTGTTTTCCTAGTGACCTCCCCTTTTCACCCACTGTTCAGGAGATGACCCCAATATAGAAGGTTTCTTCCACTGCTGCGGGTTCAACAGCCGCGGCATGCAGCTGAGTGGTGGTTGTGGGGAGCAGATAGCCAAGTGGGTGGTGGAGGGGCGGCCTGAGATACCGATGTTCATCTACGACATCAGGCGGTTCCACCCACTTCTCTGCTCCAACAGGGCGTGGATACTGGCCCGCACTCACGAGAAACTGCTCAGTCACTATAACATCATCTTCCCCCACGACGAGCCTCTGGCCGGTCGAAGGCAGAGGTGCTCCCCGTTGCACCAGGTATGTACTGTAAGTCAGACACCAGGAGCGTGCACAGGGAACCTTTTATGTGTGGTGAGAGGGGAATGATGGGACGAATCACTGACCACCCTCTGTTTTATGACATACCTGTACAGTAGACAGGCTGCTGAATGATGATCGTATTAATTTGGTTGTGTGAATTATCTCCATGATAATGATAACATGAGAGACATGACACTATGACTGTCAGCTTCCTCGTATATGTAGTTGTGGTAGAGAGATTGGTAGCTGACTTAGTATACTGTAAGACTTGAGACATAGATCTTGTGGTTATAGTTGTGGTAGGGAAACTGGAAGCTGACTTAGTGCGATGTAAGATTTCAGCCATAGTAGCAGTGAGACTTGGTGCACTGTACGGCTTAAGACATAGAGCTTGTGGTTGTGGTTGAAGTTGTGGTAACGAAACTGATAGCTGACTTAATACACTGTAAGGCTTGAGACAATGAGCTTGGGGTTGGGGTTGTGGTTGTGGTTATAGTAGTGGTAGCGAGACGGGTAGATTATGTGACAATCACAAAGCTGAAGAAGGCTGGCAGCTGACAAACTACACAACAAGACACAGTAGCACAGTAAACTCCTTATACAAGATGGGTGTGTCCTGCAGGTGCTGGAGGACGCTGGAGCGGTGTACCAGGAGAAGCAGGGGTGGGAACGTCCCGGGTGGTTCGGCACGTCGCCAGCCCCCGTGCAGGAATACGACTGGTATGGCGCTTACGGTAACCCCATCTGTAGAGACCTGAGGTACTACAACAGTCTCAAGGGCGGGTACACTTTTGGTTTCCCCAAATATCACGACCTGGTGAGTCATGTTGGCTGGTATCCATCCCCCCCCCCCTCTCTCTCTCTCTCTCTCTCTCTCTCTCTCTCTCTCTCTCTCTCTCTCTCTCTTAAATTAACTCTTAATATGTATGTAATGTATGTATGGTTCTTTATTAATGATATTTTAGTTTTACTGAGATACCAGATTATCCTTCAACTCTTACTGATGTTCAACAGATCCAGAGGGAGTGTCTAGCTGCTCGTGAAGGGGCAGCCGTGTTCGACATGTCCTCCTTCGGCAAGTATTACCTAACTGGTCGCGACGCCCAGAAGGTGGCTGATTGGGTCTTTTCTGCTGATGTGACTCGAGCCCTGGGTACTACCGTCTATACCTGCATGTTGAACCACAGAGGAGGCATCGAGGCGGACCTGACCGTGGTAGGTGTTATGTTGGAGCGCGAGCGCACACACACACACAGACACACACTACTTTGCTGTCACTCTACGATATGATACAATAATATGAATTTTTTAACGATGTCACATTCGTTGGTGAGCTCTGAGGTGACTCGAGAGGCTGATACCGTCCACAGATGTTGCACGTGTGGAGGACTACATCCAGTGTGGGAGGGGCGGCGGCAGCGTCTTTCCAGCGCTGGCGTTTGTCTGCCTCGGTATGCAGTCAGCCTAACTTGAAAGTATTGACACCTTCTCGTGTAGTGCTTCTCCAAGCGTTACAGTTTTGAGTGATTATTTCCCAGGCACTTTTTCAGGTTTGCCTTAAGACTGTCCTTATACATTTTCCCTTACCCGCCAGCATTACGTTTACCATTCGTTAGGTAGTCTACTGTCGTCCATGTGAGTAACATGGCCAGTTCAACGTAGTTCTTCATGGATAATGGTAGCCTCAATGCTCCTACAGTTGGTGTCAGTGAGAATACTGGCATTTATTCTCTTTTAGACTACGTTGGTGAAAGTTTTCAATTGCCTTAAGGTGCCTCCTGTATGTGACCTATGTCTCGCTGCCTTGCAGTTGGGGGGGAGGGGGTGGAGGAGCACTGATCGATATACGGAAAGCTTTGTAGATAATTTCAACTCCATACAGCTGAAGACAAGGGTATGGAGTCTGAGTCTGCCAAAGGCTTCAGATGCACATCTGTCCCGATGTTGAATCTCTTCATCGATGTCCGCAAAAGGGGTGGACAGGTGGCAGCCTCGATACTGAAAGTGGGTAACATTAGAGAGGGTAGTACCATTAAACTGGATGGATGGTGGAGGTGTGACTGACCCAGGGGCAGGCTGAAAAATAATCTGAGTCGTACATGTATTCACCTCAAGGCCGAAGTGTGCATAAGGATTTGCGTAGGTGTTTAGGATCTCTTGTATGTTGCGTTCAGTGTGACGGATATGGGTGAGGTCGTCGGCATACTGAAGTTCAGTGATGGAAGTGGCCCACATCTTTGTTCCATCCTGGAGTCGTCTTATGTTGAAAAGTCCCTTCATCTGGTACTGGATGTCCACCCCGCCGACTAAATTGGCACTGGCACGAGTAAGGAAGGCAGCCAAGAAAATGGAAAAGAGAGTTAGTGCCAGTACACATATTTGTTTTAACCCCGTTTGGAAGGGGAAGAACTCAGACTGGGTGCCAACGAACATGACACTGCCGTTCATGCCATTGTGGAGTTGCCTCACACTTGCGATGGAATTTGGTGCGGAGCCAAAGTGACTGAGGGTCCATCAGAGGGCTTCCCTGTTGACCGAGTCGAAGGTCTTAGTAAGGTAAATGAAGACCATGTACAAGTCACGATGCTGTTCTCTGCACTTATCTGGCGGGCAGCAAAGATCATGTCAGTGGTGCCACATGATGATCTAAATCCACATTGAGATTCTGCGAGGAACATTTCCGCCGTAGGAAGAAGTCTTTTCAGAAGGACTCGGGCAATGATCTTGCCAGCTACGGACAACAGCGAGATCCCGCAGTAGTTGCCACAGTCTGACCGGTCTCCCTTGTTCTTATAAATATTGACGATGGAGGCTTCTTTAAGATCTTAGGGGATTTCTTTCTTTTCCCATATATCCTCCAGGATAGAGTGGAGATGGCTGGTAAGCAGAGATTCCTTTTCTTTATACACTTCGACTGTGATTCCATCAGGCTCTTTGGCTTTGTTATTTTCTTATCTGCTTGAAGAAAGTAGCTCCCTCATCACGGGATGGAGGATAGCTGAGGTGGGTCAGCTCTGGGCGCTGAGGGACCTGCTGTGTAGTCAGGACATCTGAAATGATGTTTCGGTTGAGCAGCGAATGTTAATGCTCTTTACAGTGCTGCCGGATGGCTTCTCCATCTTTAAGTATGGAGTTACCGTTAGAGCATCGGAGGGGGCCGCGCCACAAAAAGTTGGGCCATACATTGTTTTAGTGGCATTTAAAAATTCACGCATCTTGTGTTGATCTGCATATTTTAGTTTTTCACATGCCTTATTTTTCCACCATTCGTTCTTTAGATTGATAACTTTGAGCTGGAGTGCAGCTTTTTTCTGGTGGAAGGCATCATCAGGTTTGGCTCGAAACTGAGGATCAATCTGCCAGTGAAATCAGCACGTTTACCATTGACGAGTATGTCGATTTCCTGGTTATTTTCATCAAATCAATCCTGGTGTTTTCTTTCGAGCTGGCCGAGGGACTTGCTGCAGGTTTTTGTGATGACAGCGTTGAGGAACCCCCATTCAGCGCTCGGAAAAAGGTTGTTTGTTGTTTGGTTGTTTATTAGCCCATCGTCGAGCTGCTCCTTGAAAGCATGTTTTACCTCTTGATCCTTCAGTCAGTCGCTTGGTGTTAAAACCTCTTCTCGAGACTTGATGATTTCGCCATTTTGGAACGACGTGAAGGGAAAGTTTGGCCCTGACGATCCGAGGATCTGTGTCATAGTGGTCTGATTTGTGCATGACTCGGGTGATGACATCTTTGCGATCTCTTTCTCTGACAATGAGATGCCAATTTTTGATTGTGGGTGTTGCCAAGAACCCTTGAACTTTTCGGCCTGCCTAAACAAAGTGTTAGTGATAATGGGGTTGTGTTCACACTTACAGGAGGGAAAAAAAAGCCATTGGAATTACACCTGCCTACTCCGTTTCTCTTTATGGTTCCCTGCCATAAGCCAGCATCTCTGCCAAATATGGCATTGACGTCACCAATGAGCACAACCTTATCTTCTCTGCCGATAAAGGTTAGCACTCTGTCAAGGTCGGCATAAAAGGTCTCCATGATGTCATTCTCTGAATCCAGTTTTGGGGCGCATGCACTGATGAAGAAGGAATGATGTGAGTGATTCAGTGGGACTTGAAGTGTCATGAGGCGCTAGTTGATCCCAACAGGCATTTCAGTTAGACTGTAGGATGGATTGACGAATGGCAAAACCAACTCCATAAATGCGGTTTCTCTCCGCAGCAGGCTTACCCTTCCAGAAGAAAGCATAGCCGGACTCCGTTCTGTGAGTCGACCCTTCTCTGGAAGCCGGGACTAACCAATGGCTGCTATGTCGATGTTATACCTAATCAGCTCTTTTGCCACAAGGGCGGTTCTTCTTTGGGTCGCTCATTTGTGCCAGTATCCAGAATTGTCCTGACATTCCATGGAGCGACGGCGGTAGCCCAGTCAGTGTTTTTTTATTTAGGCAGGCTATGTTAGGAGACCTTTTCTAGCCCCCTGCCCATGTGGAGTCAGCAGAGTTGCTCCTGGAAATGGCTGTTCAGTCACACAGACAGGACCGGATTGCTCTGCTGCCCAGATTCCAATGCATATACGATCCTCTTGTTTATGCCGCCCATAAGCAGAGTTGTGATTAGAGACTCGCGACAGTCATCTCTGTCTTGTAAGCATTATCTACCTGATGCAGGGCTACACTGCAGATTTCTTGTTCGGAGTTTACTCCTGTAGACTTTTACCTGTCAAGATTAATCAGCTAGGCAGCGGGGCAGTGGTTGGTAGGCTCCAGGGCGTGTCCACATGCCAGTGGGCCTATGCGCCGTCTCTCTGGAGCCCACTGCTGCTACGAAATTCCCTACTGGTCTAGCCTGGGGCCGTAAGGCATCCAATTACCGTGTGCTGCAGTAGAAGTCTTGTTGGTGAAGAGGCTGTGTACTGGCAGGGAAGACTTACGTAAGGTTACTTCCCTGTTCACCACAAGGGCTAAGCAGCGACGGTAGCAAAAAGAGAGAGGAAGCAAGTAGTGCTTACACCTTAACACTAACATAATGCTGCCACACTAGACGCATTGCACCACCCTGTGCACATGCACACAAACACACACACACACCTGCTTTACTGATCCTGAACGACTTTCTCTATGTTTGTGTCTCTCTTATTTCTATGTCTATCTCTCGATTTTTCTTTCTATATATTTCTGTCTCTTTCTTCTCTCAACACAGCACACTACCTCTCCACTAGACTTGGTTTCAGATCCACATCTAAGATGAGAAGTTCATTTGGCAGAATGATTACAGCCTGTGACAACAACAACAACACCTAAATGATGGACAGATAATCTAATAATACAGACATTTGTTTCTTTTAGAACGTAGTGTGACTTTTTTTTTTGAGTTATAATTTTTTGTGGATCGAGAGACGTGTGTAGTTGAGGCAATTTTTTTTTTTTTTTTTTAGTCAGACCCCGGGAGGTGAGGCTAGGGTGATTTTCTGAACGGCTGCTCATTGTGATGGGTGCGCTTGGCAAACACACAAACTACCGCCTCGGTAGTTTGATTGAGAGTTGCAGCTGGGCACCATGGACAGAGCCAGGGAAGCTAGTACAACTCGATATGAATAATTAAGGTTAATGATATTGATACTGAAAATGACACTGATTATTTTAATGATGTAGGTACAAGAAAATCTTCATTTTAGTCAAAGGTGCATTGCCTTCGGTATTATCGTTAATGCTTTAGTAAAATGATAACCAAAGTTGCACTAAATGAAACAGAATAATTGTAAATATCAACAAAGTAATATTGACAACAAACAAGTGCTTTGAAACTGGTGTTTGATGTAATAATACAATCACTATGGTGATTAGTGCGTTAGTCTTTACGGTGAGTGTGATGATGGTGCTTCTCTTTATGGTGAGGGTGATGATGGTGCTTCTCTTTATGGTGAGTGTGATGATGGTGCTTCTCTTTATGGTGAGTGTGATGATGGTGCTTCTCTTTGTGGTCAGTGTGATGATGTTGCTTCTCTTTGTGGTGAGTGTGATGATGGTGCTTCTCCTTGTGGTGAGTGTGATGATGGTGCTTCTGTTTGTGGTGAGTGTGATGATGGTGCTTCTCTTTGTGGTGAGTGCGATGATGTTGCTTCTCTTTGTGGTGAGTGTGATGATGGTGCTTCTCCTTGTGGTGAGTGTGATGATGGTGCTTCTGTTTGTGGTCAGTGTGATGATGGTGCTTCTC